TGTATAGATATATAGTTTCAAGAATCTTAATAAAGTACTAGCATAACTGCTTAAGGTTAAAAAAAAAAAAAAAAAAATAACTAATCCAAATAGATAAACTAATTATATAAATTTAATAAGTTACTGTATTATATTTAAAATAAGTATTACTTTTGTCCAACTTAAATATGATTTTGATACAAGTGTTTAGTTAGGTGCTATTCTAAAAAAGAGCCTAGTTACATCTGCATTAAATATATTATTAAGAGTATACTTTTGAATAATATTATGCAATGAATTTTATTGATCAAATACATCTTCTAAAAAAGCAAAGCCAGCTTTATCATATAGATAATAATTTTGTAAATTTTTTTTTTTAAACTAATAAATTTAATTATTAGAAAATTTAAATAAATCTGTTATTATACCCAAATTTTGTATAAAAAACTTGGCTTTCTTTTTGATAATTAATTTAAATAAAAGTATTTTATTATTAGTAATCTGTTCAATCTATAATTTCATTGCTTGATTCAATAATAGGTATTTAACATGTTTATAATAATAAATTTTAGCATGATCTGCATTATTAATTACTACCAACTTTTTTTTTCTTGTAATATTTTGATATTTAAGATTAACTTAAAAGGTTTTTAAAAGTATTCTGCAATTTTTCTATATGAAAGATTAGGATTTTTATTATTATAAGCACAAATATTATATTTTAACTTATTATTAATAACTGTTTTTGCTTTTTTAGAAGGCATCTTTAAAGACATTTTGAGTAATATTAAAAAAAAAATCATTTAAATACATTTTTAGAAAGTGATGATATCAAGAAAAAATTCTATATAAAAATATTTTTAACAAATTAAAAATATATAATACTAATTATAAATAATAATGTAATTATAAAAAGATATTTTTATTATAAAAAAAATATAATACAAACTTATGTAATTATATAGTAGTTGTAATTATATAGAAGGTAATTATAGAGGTAAATGACTATATTACAATTTTAATGAATATTGAATTTAAATATTAAAAAATTGAATTGATATTTTATTTGTATTATAAATATATATAGTTTTTTAAATTTCAAAATAATTTAAATATAATAAGTTAGTTTTTAAACTATAATCAAATTGATCTTTTTTTTTAGTATTAAGATGGCCTCTTTGGTCTTTTGACTTTTTATTAATACTTATTTCAGATATATGAGAATGAGTTAATAAAAAAAGAACAAATTATTTTTAGTAAAATTTTTTAATTTTTAAATTTAAATAACTTAACAACTATTTAATTAAATCTGCTAAAAATATTTTTATTTTAATCTTGAAATTATATAAAAATAAAATAAAAAAAACTTATCAAATTTAATAAAATAGTTGTTAAGATATTTAAGTTTAAAATCAAGAAAACTTTTATTTAAAAAAATTTGTTCTTTTTTTTTTTTTTTATTTTTACTAAGGCTGTAGTTATTAGTGGCTATTGTTTTTATTGTATTTTAATTATAATTACATAACTTGTACAAGGTGAATATACAACTAGCCACACATACAACTTTTGTTGTCTATTTTAAGTAGTCCACCTATATAGCAAGTTTTACACTAACTGCTATATCTGCATTTTACTAGCAGATTACCTATTTAAATACTCTGTTTCTTATGTATAATTATAATCTGTGCTTAGTTTTAAGTTATAAGATAATGATTATCAGGATACTTAATTAACAAGTGCAAATTTATCATTATACATATATATGCATATATGTGCATTAATAGCATTTTTCTTTCCTAATTGAAAATTCAAGTTTGAATATATTCTTAAGCAATAAAAAAAAAGTAATAATTTTTTAAAACATACTTTAATTCTTTAAAGCAATATCTAGTTTGAGTTGTTCTATTATACATTATAAGATATAATCTTTTTCTATATATTGTGATCCTGTAAATACAAGTATTCTAATTCTAGAGTTAGTCTAGTTGATCTATTTTTCTGCACATATAGTAGTGATAAAACCTTTTTTTTTTGATCATTGCTATTACTATATAATAAATTTCAGCATTTTATAGTATTTTTTATTAAAAATATATATGTACAATAATAACTGATAATATTTGTAGTGCTAGTTTTTAATAATGTTTATAAAAAGATTATCATCTAATATATATTTGTTCATACTAATAGTTACTCAAATTTTCAAATAGAAGAGTATAAACAACTATGACTAGTAATGAAAAAAAATAAGTTAAACAGTTTTTTAGATATTTTTAAAACATTTTAAAAAACTTTTTAAAACATTGATACTGAGACTAAAATTTAGTACTAAAATGCTGATTCACCAAGTTTCATAAAGATAATTTTTTTAAAAAAAATATTCAAATTATAAACTTTAATGTATAATTTAATTTTTGATTTAACTATTTGTAAATATATATATATACTTTTAATTTACAATTTATATCTAATTTGGTTAATGTTATTTAATCTTTATTTAAACTGAAGACTTGAATATTAGTATTATTTAATAAATTTTTTATACTTTTTAAAAGCCTTTTGCATCTATATAAATAATTCTTTAAAGGGGTGTGGTGACCTAGTGAAGTGGTCAGGTTGTCAACCCTTCAAGTAGTAGATTGGGTGTTCAAATCCCATCAATGATGAAAATTTAGATAATCATCTATGTAATATTCATATTACAGCAACTGTTACTAACAGTTGGGTTAAGATACCTGTAATGGCAGTTGCACTAGTATGACTGGCAGGTCATAGGGCATCTGTGCAATGTTGAAGTTACACAGAGAAATGCAAACCAACATATTAGGCAGTGCAAACACTAGATAAGTCTTTGTGTCCATATAAATCTATTGAAATTTAGTAACAAGAAGTCCATTTGGGAAAACCTAAGTAGAGAGGTAGCTAGATCTTTGATGGCCCTATTGTAAAGGCTAGCTTGGTGAAATGGATACCTAGATCTAGTACCTGGTCCTAGTAGCCAGACAGGCAAGAACCTTCAGGTTGGAAAGTTTCAGAGGTACTACCAACTAGGCTGTCAGAATAAACCGGAAGAAAAGAATATTGGGCTGACCTGATATACCAATGGACTAGTTGTAGTTCTATACAGGTTATCTGGATTGGGAATTTGGTAAAAGGGCAGAGAAAAAGACAGAGGGAAAGACAGGGATATACTAAAGTACTGGAGTTATGCTGTAAAGTAGATGCTAGGGTCTAAGTGAACTTTACAAAAGCATAGTAGTTTAATAGTTAGCCCTAACCACAAGTATTGGTTTTGCTATAGCAATATTTAGATCAGCTGTAAAAATGTGTACAAAAGGCTTTGAGGAGTTTACCTCAAGGATAAATTAGTCCTAAGGTTAAGATGATAATCTGGACATCTGGGTATAACCCAGTAATGTTAACACATGTTACAGGTTCAGATGATTTAAAGTGAAACACCCAAGTAGAAGTGTTAGGTACAGCAATTGGTAGGGAACCTTCGGGTGAACTTCTTAAATAGGTAATATAAAAAAGTTACATGTGTAGCCAATTGTACACTCTTCTGTAGTGGTTCATTGAACCACAATACTGATAAGTGATTAATAAAAGTCAAAAGACCAAAGAGGTTACTTTAAAAACAAAAAAATAATAATAATCCTTTAATCGATAACTAAATTCACAAAGTTCTTTCCACAGTAGTTAAACTTTTGGCAAAATATAGTTTGACCAAGTTTGTCAGTTTTGTAACTTTTGTAAAGTTCAAGCAAATTTCTTTTAATAAAGGTCTCTCTTGGAGCATGATTGTTTATAATTTTAGGTTTTAAAAAATATAATGATAAAGTTGTATTTTGATAAAATTAGTTAAATAAATAAATACTATTATTGTTATATTAAAATGTATTAAAACATTTAAAAATTTTTTTAAATTAAATATATTTTAAAATATTTCATTTTAAAACATTTTTTATTCCTAACTATGATGCTTATTATAATAAATTAATAATGATAATTAATAAATAATATATAAATCATAATACAAACAGAATAATGCATTTTATCAAATTATTATATATGTTTAAGTTTTATAATTTAATTATTAAATTTACATAAAAGGAATAACTGATAATTACAGCTTTAAAAAAAAGATGATGTAAATTTCTTTAAAAAAATTAAAACAAGAAACTCTTTCTCTTCATTCATGTTTAGTAGTAGAGAAAAAAATAAAACAAAAACAATTAAACCTTTATTAAAATCTATTAGAAACTATATCACAAGAGCTAAATTTTTTGTGCTGAAGAAAAGAAAGTATCCATGCACTAACATGCTACACTTCTCCTTTATTTAGTTATTTGAAATGCCTGTGTTCTACAAAAAAATTAGAACTTCTAACATTTATGAAGAAGAAACTAGTTTAAACTCAGATCCTTCTAAGAGCTTATTAGAACAAACTAAAGCTCAAGTTTTAAATAGCCAAGAACCAAAAGCTTTATCAACACAAAAAGCACAAGAAGCACATATAGTAACAGACTTAAAAGTCAGCAAAGCACTAAACAAAGAAAATACTAATTTTGTAAAAAATGATAATGCTTTGTTTACATCTGCTGACAACACATATGCAGAGATAACAAAACAAACCAAACACATGTCTTATAATAACAACTCAGTTACATTTTAATCAGAAATTATAACCAACTAATCAAAACTAAGACAATGGTCTGATCTTTTTTCTAAGTTGAAAAAAGAAAAAGCTATCTACTTTATATTTACTCCTAGAAAAAGAATCTACATTAAAAATAAAAATGTTTTAATTTTTAAAACTCAAAATTTAAAAAATATATCTACAGCAGACATAGTTAAAGCAATAACAAAAAAATTAGGTAACAGTCTTATAGCAATAAGACTGGTAGTTACCAAAGGCAAAAGAACTCATTTAGAAGTTATCTTTTTTGATAAGAACTAGCAACAGTACTATGTAGCAGAAGGAATCTTAATCTTTAAGCAGTCCCTTCAGAGTTATATTTCTGTTAATATTAGATGAAGCTTTCTTTCAGTAAGAATTAGAAATACACCAATGAGTAAAAAAAATTTTATCTTTGAAAAAATCAAAGAAGCTTTTCAAGATGTAGACACAATCTTCTCTATTAGACCTTTGGTACACAAAGGCACTTTAGTTCTTTCAGATCAATAGGTAGTTATTTTTAAAACTACAGATAACTCAGACCTAGCAAATAGAATTCTCAGATATACACATGTTTGGAACCACAAAGTAGTTATGAATTGGAGAAAGGCTCTAAAGCTATGCTATTTTTGTAACAAAATAGGTCACATTAAAAAAGAATATACTAAGTACATAGCTTTAGTAGAACTTAGAGCTATGCAAAAAGCATGCAGATTATAAAGATTTCAAAACAAAATCACCAAGCACCAAACCTTCAAGTTAAAAAACTTTAGTACAGATAACTCCTACATTAAAAATAATAATAACTTAGATGCTAATAATGTTAATAAGCAAATTTTAGCAGATATGAATCTGGATAGTCATATCAATATAGATCTGCCTTAGATTAAAACTAAGCTAGCTGAAAAAGAATCAACCAAAGATATTCCAAAAGAACTAAACAATTCTTTAATAGAAAATCATATCATAGATACCAACATGATAGTAGATCCACTTACTATTCTCTATAATGATTCCAAGGTTGCTGAATCCTCTTTCATTAGCAATAATGACAATGAATTCCAATTGGTAATGTCAAAGAAAAAACACAAAGGTAAAGCAAAAGTATCGAATGCAGAAAAAAATAAAGTTATGAGTTTAGATTCTAAAAAAAATCCTGGTCTTAAAACCAAAAGACCTTAATCTAACTTACCAATCTTCAATTTTTTAATATTAATAGTTAAACAAATTACAATTGCAACACTTAATATTAAAGGTTTAACCAATTTAGACAAAGCACAAAAAACACTAATCTTACTTAAATCATATTAATTAGATATAATTATGTTATAAGAAATAAATTTAAAAAACAATAATACAAAGAATTTTCTCTCACAACAATGGAGATATAGCTTTTACTGATTCTTTAAAATAGCAATATTAGCAGAAAACAGAAACATTTCATTTGAAAACATTATAGAATCTCAGAATGGCCATGTTATCACAACAACTTTCTTATACAAAAACCAACTATTTTTCTTAAACAATGTTTATGCACTACCAAATATAGAAAATAGGCTCAAATTTTTTAATAGCTGGGTTTCTTTAAGAAATGATAGATGTATTAATATTTTGGCTAAAGACTTTAACATAAATCTGAATTCACAAAAAGATCAAATTAGTCATGCACTTATTATTTATAAACCTACAAGAAATCTTTTCAAAGAACTTACAATAGAGTTTAGATATTGTATTACTGTCTGAAAATAATTATTCATTTTTAACCTATTATCAGAACACTTGTGCAGGTCACAGAATGACTATAAAGCTTGATTACATCTTTATAGATAGTGATTATAGTAGCTATTATAAAAATGTAACAATACAATTTTAATGATAAAATACAAAATACACCTCTTACTGAAAAATCCTAAAGCAAAACAATAGAGATTTTGCAAAAATAGCTGGAATAATAATCTGCTAAAAAAAGAAGTAATTGAAAAACTCTAAAGCATTTCTAATTTCTCAAAATGGGACCTTTGTAAATGCAGAATACAATTTATAATTAGAGCATTCAGGCCTAATCCTGCTTCAGAAAAGAAGATTTAAAGGCTTCAAAAACAACTTTCAAAGCTGAATAAGAAAGCTGCTAATAAAGAGAATTCAATAGCAGCTCTATTATAGATAGAAAATATTAACTAACAGCTTTAAGATAAGCTTCAGCTGCTTTCAGAAAAATGGCAAACAAGATCAAATACCAAATAGATTAAAGATAGAAAGAAGTTAACCAAGTTCCTTTTCTTCTAATACAAGTCAAGAAACTTAATTTTAGCAAAAAACAAAATTCAAGCTTCTAATAATAATAATCCCAAAGACTTAGCCACTACTCTATAATTTATAAAATAAACATATCAAAATATTTACAAAGCTGAGGCAGTCAACAAGCACTTAATGAACTATTTTTCCCAAAATTTTCAAAAAATAACTGAATCACAAAACCAATTACTCATAAAACTTACTTCTAAGAAAAAAGTCAGAAATGTTATTAGCTTTCTTTCAAATAACAAGACTCCAGGTTCAGATGATCTTAGTTATGAGTTCTATAAAGGAATTATAAATGAAATAGTACCAGTTTTGTCTAAGCTCTTCAACTTCTGTTTAGAGTCTAATACAATCCCAAGATCATGATCCAAAAGTTTCATTATTCTAATTCTCAAAAAAGCTACTAACTTAAAAAATATTAACAACTGAAGACCAATTTTACTCACAAACTGTGATGTTAAAATCTTTATGAAAATCTTAGCTGATAGAAGTAATCCTATTTGTAAAACTTTAATCAAACATTCACAACAAGTCTTCATTAAAAAAAGATTAATCACTGATATAGCACTAGACATTGTTATAGTTCTAAAAAATTAAAATAATTAAACAATATCAAATTGGCTTTTACTGCTTGATCAGCAAAAAGCTTTTGATAAAATTAATTATAATTTTTATTGTGCATATATTAGAAGAAATGAATTTTGACAAAAAATTTACAAGGATTGTTAAACTTCTTTTCAATTCATAAACTGTATACTTAACAGATGTAAACCTTTATTTTAGAACCTATAAGGATAAAAAGAGGAGTATGATAAGGGAACCCACTTTCTTTTTTGCTATACATTTTGGTTCTCAACCTACTTATTCTCAAGATTCAAGAAGAAATCAATAGAATATATTTAGTCAATCAGACATTTAAAGCTGTAGCCTATGCAGATAATCTTATAATTAGAATAAGCTCAGCAAATGATTGTAAAAAGCTTCTGCTTCTATTTTACAAATATGAAGCAGTCTCAAATGCTAAAATTAACAAAAAAAAGTCAATTCTACTTTTAATCACAAGCATAATCAAAGCAACAAATCTTACAAACCAAAAGCAGTACAAAATAGCCAATAACAATACTATATTAAAAATCTTAGACTATGAAGTTGATATTAAAGATAATTTAAAGAAAAAGCTATATAAAAATCTAACTTAAAACATCAAGAAAAGAATTGAAGATGTTGTGTTAAGAAACCTCTCCTTTAAGGAAAAGATTCTCTTGTCAAAAGCTTTTTTTATCTTCAAGATCTGGTATACAGTATACTTACTTCTACCAAGCAAAAAACAACTAGGCAAAATTAATAATCTAATCTCAAACTGGATTAAAAACAAATTCCAAATGCTATCAAAATATTCAACTTTTTAACTAAAAATTAACAAAGAAGGTTTTGCAGTCCCAGTTCTTAAAAACATTCTTGACTTAAGACTTACTTTAATATGAATTAAACTCTTATGTTTAGATAGCTTTTGGGCCAGAGTTGAAAGATCTTAAATTGCTTAACAACTGCATGATAAAAGAAATATAGCAATAGGTTATGCATTAACAAAACTCCCAATTAGGCTGAAAGGATGGCCAGACTTTTGGTAACCTTATCTTATAGTATGGAAAAGATTAAAAGGCTCAATACTAAATACAAACAACTGGCCTTAGAATTTGTCAGATCTTACAATTGAAGGCCAACTAGGTTCCTAATTCTCAGTTAAAAATATAACTGATTTCTTATAAACTTAATTGATTTTACCTACAGCAGTACAAACTCCAGTTGACACTAGCTATCTTTTTATCTGGATTAACACAATAGGAATTCTGATCAAGAAAAAAGATATTTTTTGAAAGTTACAGAACAATGCATTTTCTTTGGGATATAGGTTTATGCATGTAAACAAAAAATTAATAGAAACTGTCCTAACTGCCCAAATCAAAAACAAACATTAGATCACTTTGCTTTAAAGTGTAATATTAGCAAAGCTATCTGGGAAAAGGAATACAAGGCACTTAAATTCCCAGCAGAAAAGGTTCTTTCTACAACTATTGAAGAGATTTTTACAACATCAAATATTTAACTTTCTAAAAAGTAAGAGACTGCATTATGGCTATATATAAATATTATCTATGAAATATAGTGTTTGTATATTTAATCTATATGGAAAAACAATACTATTTCAAAACTGGCAATAGGAAAAATTGTTGAATACTGAATGAAAAGAAGTTTAATAATTTTAGATAAATTACAAAAAAGCAAGAAAGTACTTAAACTTGTTAAATTCATAAATAGTAAATGTTTTATTTGTATATAATATAAAATTCTATAATATTTAATTTTTTTTTTTTTTTTGGTGTTAAGGTGAGGCCTTGCTCATATCTTTATTAGTAATTTTAGTTGTACATATTAATATACTATATATTAAAAATATACTAAGATTGTAAAATACAAAATAAAAACTACATGCAAGAATTAAAGCTCAGACAAAATTATCTGCGATCTAAACAGAAAATAATATTTAATTTTAATAAAAAAAACACCAATTAATGTATATAAAAAAAAAAAAAAATTAAAACAATATAGTTTTTTTTATTATTAAATAATAATTTGTTTCAAATCATATTTGACTAAGTATTAATTTATATATTCTTATTTATCTAAATTATGCATCTAAATTATATTATAAAACATACTTTAACACAATATATACTTATAAATTGATTTTTTCTTTCTGATGCTATATCAATGCTTAAACACTTGAACTATATAATTATTTAAATTTTTACTTTTGTTAATTCATGAATTTATCAATAAATCTAAATTTAATATTAAATAATAATACAAAAAAAAGTATACCAAGGTTTTCAGTATCTAATAACAAAATTACACATTCCAATATTGTTATTTTGCAAAACATTATATCTTATTATTATGAATATACTATTGATTTATTTTTTTTTTTTTTTTTAACCCTGATGCTCAGTTCAGGGGCGTGTGTGGCGCTCTTTTATTAATAGTATTTATTATTATCTGTAATGTAAGTATTTACATATATTCTCTTTCTTTTTAGATGAAAATCTTTTTAAGCTAAACTGTACTACTTTGATTTCTTTGTTTAGACGGCATTTAACTGTACTTAGTATACTTGTTAGGGTTTGGTAATCTTCTCCCCATTTAACTTTTGTATATTGGCACCAG